CTGTCCACAGAAGCAATCAATAAATCAGATTCCAAACTCTCCACCATGGTCGAGACCAAAGAGCTCTCCAAAGATGGCAGGGACAAGATTGTAGACCTACACAATGCTGGAATGGGCTACAAGACCATTGCCAAGCAGCTTGGTGAGAAGGTGACAACAGTTGGTGCGATTATTCGCAAATGGAAGAAACACAAAAGAACTGTCAATCTCCCTCGGCCTGGGGCTCCATGCAAGATCTCACTTCGTGGAGTTGCAATGATCATGAGAACGGTAAGGAATTAGCCCAGAACTACACGGGAGGATCTTGTCAATTATCTCAAGGCAGCTGGGACCATAGTCACCAAGAAAACAAGTGGTAACACACTACGCCGTGAAGGACTGAAATCCTGCAGCGCCTGCAAGATCCCCCTGCTCAAGAAAGCACATATACATGCCCGTCTGAAGTTTGCAAATGAACATCTGAATGATTCAGAGGACAACTGGGTGAGAGTGTTGTGGTCAGATGAGACAAAATGGAGCTCTTTGGCATCAACTCAACTCGCCGTGTTTGGAGGAGGAGGAATGCTGCCTATGACCCCAAGAACACCATCCCCACCGTTAAACAAAGAGATGGAAACATTATGCTTTGGGGGTGTTTTTCTGCTAAGTGGACAGGACAACTTCACCGCATCAAAGGGACGATGGACGGGGCCATGTACCGTCAAATCTTGGGTGAGAACCTCCTTCCCTCAGCTAGGGCATTGAAAATGGGTCGTAGATGGGTATTCCAGCATGACAATGACCCAAAACACACGGCCAAGGCAACAAAGGAGTGGCTCAAGAAGAAGCACATCAAGGTCCTGGAGTGGCCTAGTCAGTCTCCAGACCTTAATCCCATAGAAAATCTGTGGAGGGAGCTGAAGGTTCGAGTTGCCAAACGTCAACCTCGAAACCTTAATGACTTGGAAAAGATCTGCAAAGAGGAGTGGGACAAAATCCCTCCTGAGATGTGCAAACCTGGTGGCCAACTACAAGAAACGTCTGACCTCTGTGATTGCCAACAAGGGTTTTGCCACCAAGTACTAAGTCATGTTTTGCAGAGGGGTCAGATACTTATTTCCCTCATTAAAATGCAAATAAATTTATAACATTTTTGATACGCGTTTTTCTGGATTTTCTTGTTGTTATTCTGTCTCTCACTGTTCAAATAAATCTACCATAAAAATTATAGACTGATCATGTCTTTGTCAGTGGGCAAACGTACAAAATAAGCAGGGGATCAAATACTTGTTTTCCCTCACTGTAACTCCATCGACTGGTGTTGCAGGGGGCCGTGGGTTTCGATACCGATCCTGACGGAGCTGGGACTTTCCTGTTTTCTCCCCGTGGTCTCGTGGATTTTTTCCTCCGGGTCCTCCGGTTTCCCCCACCACTTTGAAAAACATGCCTTCCGATTATTTTGCTGCTCAACGGTGTGATGATGATTTAAGCCACTTCGATGAGCTACCATATGTGGGTCAGGTTGCCTCTGAAAGAGAGCTAAAAGCTCAGTGGGCTTTGCCTTGTGAAACACATTGTTTTAATTCTGTACTAACCAGCGTAAACAATCCCATAATATTTGAGCTATTCAAAGGGCCATCTGAACACGTACACATATCTTGATTTGAAGCTTTCGTGACTGCAGGAATCCATACTCTTTGGTTCTTTCGGTAAAGTCACGTAGGTATAAAATAAAATAAATCACGACGTTTCGGGCGCAAAACAAGCGTCCATCATCAGGTGGGAAAGCATGGTCTGCTGCTGAGGCAGACTGTTTTAAAACAGTCCCAGAAATAACATATTTTAAAACAGTCTGCCTCAGCAGCAGACCATGCTTTCCCACCTGATGACGGATGTTTGTGTTGCGCCCGAAACGTCGTGATTTATTTTATTGTATACCTACGTGACTTTACCGAAAGAACCAAAGAGTACGTACACATCTCTACATTTGAACCTTATGGCGATACCCCGGGGTACCATAGTAGCCCGGCTCTCGCACGATGTCCGTGATGCAGTCATTTTTAGTCTGTTGATGGTCGGCGATGCGGCAATCGACTCATCTCGACGAGCTGTACACGATGCACCACTACGGTGCATTACGAGCGTTCAGGATTTCGGCGCAATCATCTTCACTGCGTTTCGACATCGCGGAGTGTGGCACTGATTTCGGATTGATTGGTACCCCAGTCGCGGAGTTAAGTACACCCCTGGAAAAAAATAGTGTCCCAGAAATAACATATTTAATTGCCTTGGCCCATTTTGTATTATTTGGTACCCCGGGATACCGCCATGAGGATCATATTTTTAAAAAATTAGCCCTGGGAAGGGCACTGGACACCTCAACGCCCATACTCACTTCGAATCGAAGCCCCAAGCCAGTGAAGCAATGTCGACTGGCATCATCTTATGAGCTTCAAATTGGAGTTACCGTCGAAACGACCGACAGTGATCTGGGCCCAGCCTCGCTCGTCCATTGCTAAAATATACGCGCGGGGTTCCTCCTCCCACGTGTCCCAGTGGAGGGTCGTCCATTCGCCATCCATTCCCCATCCTTCCTAATCCATCGGTTTGCCGGGACAACCAAATGTGGGGGGTGGTGGGGGGGCTGGGGAAATGTTAAGCTTGCGAATGTCAAACAATCACGGGTGCTGAGCAAAAGGTCGAAGGTCCACACTACCTCGCCTGGTATACAGGAGGTCATGGGTTCGATCCCGACCCTGATGCCTGTGTATTTGGATGTGTGCGTGTCTCTCTCGCACTCCGTGGTCGCGTGAATTTTTCTCCGGGTCCTCCGTGTTTTTTTTTTCCCCTCCACGTTTAGCAAGGTGCATTGAATGCATTTGGCTGCTGTAATCGTCCACGTGATGATGATGATGAGCCGCTTCGTTGCGCTGTCGTTCGTGACAGCCAGGTCGCTTCTAAGAAAGAGCTACTCAGCTCGGTGGGCCTTACCTGGAAAAATAAAAATTGTTTTTGAGTTTTAAGCGGCTAGTAACAAACAACATTACCATTGCACGTGTAATAGCCGGGGAAGCATGTAGAGTACATATATGTACGTACCCTCTGTTTCACAAGTGGCGGTAAGAAATATATTGACGAAAAGAGGAGGCCTTGCGTGTGTTGTGTTGCCAACGTTAAACAAACAGCTAAAATATCACTCGCATTCTGCATTACGCCATTGGGGAAACAATGCAGCAACATCGACCCCTACTGCTCCACTTGGCAGGTGTCGAGTCTCAGCGAGGCTTTCCTGGTTTACATAACAGCGATCTCCGTGTTATATAGGAGTTAGCTTCAAATGTCACATTCAGCGAGGTTGTTGTAGAGAACGATGATAGAAGAGACGACGGACGCGGGGATTCCAAAGTGGAGCGGTGCGAGGGAAGAAGGAGGAAGAGGCGCGATGTGACCTGCAGTTGTGGTGAGTGGTGGGTGGGTGGTGGGTGAGTTTGTGAGTGAGTGGGTGGGTGGGTGGTGGGTGGGTGGTGGGTGAGTTTGTGGGTGAGTGGTGGGTGGGTGAGGGTGAGTTTGTGAGTGAGTGGGTGGGTGGTAGGTGAGTTTGTGAATGAGTGGGTGGGTGGTGGGTGAGTTTGTGAGTGAGTGAGTGGGTGGTGGGTGAGTTTGTGAGTGAGTGAGTTTGTGAGTGGGTGAGTGGTGGGTGAGTTTGTGAGTGGGTGAGTGGTGGGTGAGTTTGTGATTGAGTAAGTGGTGGGTGAGTTTGTGAGTGGGTCAGTGGTGGGTGAGTTTGTGAGTGGTGGGTGAGTTTGTGAGTGGGTGAGTGGTGGGTGAGTTTGTGAGTGAGTGGGTGGGTGGGTGAGTTTGTGAGTGAGTGAGTGGGTGAGTGAGTGAGTGGTGGGTGAGTTTGTGAGTGAGTGAGTGGGTGAGTGCGTGGTTATGACCTGCGCTACGAACCCAGCACTAGTAGCGATAGAAGAGGGACGAGGGGGTGACTGCCCGCTGCTATACCTTGAGTTCAGGCGCAGCGAGAGAGGGGCCGAGCACAGTGAGGTTGGAACTGGGCGCCCCACCGCAGGTGCGATGAGTGTGGAAGTAAACCTCGCGATGGATGAACGCTCACAAATTGGCTGGAAACATCTTAATACGTAAAGAACTGCAGAGCAAAATTGTTGGCGCCGGCTCCCGCCTGGTGGCCTTCCCAGCTTGGCTGTGGTTCCACGGCGATTGTGAGACGCAATTTGAACGGACGACGCTATATATATAACTCCGGTGGCGAGCTGTTTACTACCTCGCCTGGTATACAGGAGGTCGTGGGTTCGATCCCGACCCTGACGCCTGCTGTATATTTGGAGTTTGCGTGTCTCTCTCTCATCATCATCACCGTGGCTAGAAGATGTTAACTACCTCGCCTGGTATACAGGAGGTCGTGGGTTCGATCCCGACCCTAACGCCTGCTGTATATTTGAAGTTTGCGTGTCTCTCCCCGTGGTCGCGTGGATTTTTTCTCCAGGTCATCCGGGTTTTCCCTCCACATTTAGAATCAACATCACGCGTTTAGAGTATGTTGGCTGCTATAAATGTCCACGCGATAAGCCACTTATTTGAGCTATCATTTGTGGCCAGGTCACTTCTGAAAAAGATTTACGTCGCTCAGTGGGCCTTACCTGGTCAAATAAAACGAAGCTAGTTGATTTTAGTTCAAACGTATTTTTTTTAGTTAATGCCACGCTAATATCTTTGAACGCATGCATGTTGAAGTTCCTCGAATCGCGATTTAATAACCGTTGAGGACATCATTATAATCTAACACTGCCCCCTGCAGTTTTCAGTACCATAACAACGTCTTGGATTCTTGTTAACCGTTAGATGCAAAACGCGTTTGACTTCGCCAAGATTACCGTATGCTCTGGATTATAAGACGCTTCGGAAAGTAAGACGCAAGCCACACCTGTTTCCGGTGTCAATACACAAATCTGATCTCACACACACACACACGCGTGGATAGCAACGCAAACTAAATCACACACTTTACACAGAAGACAAAGCTCCCCCGTGTCACCCACACAGCTCTGTTGGGGCAAGTTCTGTTAGTGTTTAACCCTGCCCATCCCGCATCACGAGCGGCCACGCAGACCTGGCGCATGAAGGACCGGATGAAGGCGGTGAGCGTGTCGCTGGTTCTGTGTCTCAACGTGGGCGTCGATCCCCCGGACGTGGTGAAGACGACGCCGTGCTGCTGCCTCGAGTGCTGGATCGATCCCCCCCCCCCCACTCGCTGGGCCCGCATCGGAACCAACCTGCAGAAGCAGTACGAGTGCTGGCAGCCACGGGCACGGTACAAGCAGTGCCTCGACCCCACGGTGGAGGAGGTGAAGAAGCTGTGCATGTCTCTGCGGCGCAACGCCAAGGAGGGGCGCGTGCTGGTCCACTGCAATGTGCACGGTGTGCCACGGCCCACCGCCAACGGGGAGGTCTGGGTCTTCAACAAGAACTTCACGCAGTACATCCCGCTGTTCATCTACCACCTGCTGACGTGGATGGGCAGCCCCTCCATCTTCGTGTACGACTGTTCCCATGCCGGGATCATCGTCAAGTCCCTCCTGCAGTCCTCTCTGCAGAGGGAGCAGGAGCTCGAGACTGTCGGTCCGCACCGCGACTCGTGCTTTCTCCTCTCTGCGGACTCTTCATCCCAAGGCTCCTGTAATGTGTCGACCATCAGCCCGAGCCACCCGCTGTCGCTGGTGGGGATGCCCCCGACGTCGATGCGTTGCTGCGTCCAGCCGGCCGCCTGCGAGTCGTCGCAACTGCTGCCCATGAACCCCGAGCTGCCCGCCGACCTCTTCACCTCCTGCCTCACCACGCCCGTCAAGATCTCCCTGCGCTGCCAGAGCAGTGGCAAGCTGGTGCCTGGTGTCACCCTGGACCTCATCGAGAAGTCGGAGCCTATCCTCTTGCTTTGTCAGATTCTCCAAAGATTTTTCCTCTTGCGTGTAGTCACTTTAAGATGTTTTCTTGTTCATGTTTTTGTTTTGTTGCGGTTGCACCCGAGCCTAGAGCCGCATGGCTCACAGGGTTATACCTAATAAATGAAAAAAAAACTATCGGTGAGCCATCGCTCAACTTCGGTGGCACGCAACGGAATCACCTAGTCTCTTCAACCTGTCCGTTGTTTCTTTTGTCGTATGGAAACAGGAAGTGATTACAGGGGCGACTCTACCACGACATCTTCCCTGGTACGGAGTTCGCCGACAAAGCTGCAATGCGGATCGCCCTGAAATAATTTAAACTATTTTTTTTGCTAAACTATTTTTTTGCTCGAAAAAATGCGGCTAAATTATTCAGTATAGCTCTTTTTCAGAAGCTGCCTGTCCACAAATAATAGTCCAATTAAGTGGCTTATCACGTGGAAATTAATAGCGGCCGAATACTCTAAGCGCATGTTTCTAAACGTGGAGGGAAAACCCCGGAGGACCTGGAGGAAAATTCACGCGACCACGGGGAGAGAGACAGAGAGAGAGACAAGTAAACTACAAATATACAGCAGAAGGCGTCACAGTCGAGATCAAACCCACGACCTCCTGTATATAAGGCTTGGTAGTTAACATCTCCTAGCCACAGTGATAATGGTGAGAGACACGCAAACTCCAAATATACAGCAGCAGGCGTCAGAGTCGAGAGCAAACCCACAACCTCCTGTATACCAGGCGAGGTAGTTTACATCTCCTAGCCACTGATGATGGTGAGAGACACGCAAACTCCAAATATACAGCAGCAGGCGTCAGAGTCGAGATCAAACCCACGACCTCCTGTATACCAGGCGAGGTAGTTAACATGTCCTAGCCACAGTGATGATGGTGAGAGAGAGAGACACGCAAACTCCAAATATACAGCAGCAGGCGTCAGAGTCGAGATCAAACCCACGACCTCCTGCATACCAGATGAGGTAGTTAACATCTCCTAGCCACGGTGATGATGGTGAGAGAGAGACACGCAAACTCCAAATATACAGCAGGCGTCAGTGTCGAGATCAAACCCACGACCTCCTGTATACCAGGCGAGGTAGTTAACATCTCCTAGCCACCGTGATGATGGTAAGAGAGAGAGACACACAAACTCCAAATATACAGCAGGTGTCAGTGTCGGGATCAAACCCACGACCTCCTGTATACTAGGCGAGGTATATAACATCTCCTAGCCACCGTGATGATGGTGAGAGAGAGACACACACAAACTCCAAATATACAGCAGGCGTCAGGATCGGGTCGAATCCATGGCCTCCTGTATACCAGGCGAGGTAGTTAACATCTCATAGCCACAGTGATGATGGTGTAGTGTTTATAAAGACGAGTAAACTTCTTAGGAGGCACACTCTGTTTATTGTTATTCTTTCCTCATACAATCCTTAACACACACAGAGGGGTGTTAATAGCACTATGTAACAAATATTTTTGGAGTCTTTCGGTAAAGTCACGTAGATAGGTTCAAAGTAAGTAAATGAACCTATCTACGTGACTTTACTGAAATACCCAAAGAATATGAATTCCTGCAGTCATGAAAGCTTTAAGTTAAGATTTAACTATTCAACAAATATATTATTTTTTTTGTTCCTGGGTAGTGTTATGTTCTAATTTCTTATGCTTCGAAGGTATAGAAGATGGCTATTATTCCCCACACACTTTGCTTTTGTGACAAGGACAGTGATATTTTGAAATGTACCTATTGTCAATTAGAAAATGTGGTGTGCATTTGTGTCATTCCTTCACGTAAAGTCCTGGTCACAAAAACAAAGTTTGTGGGGATTAACAGCCATTTGCTATACTTTTGAGGCATAAGCAGTTCGAAGATAACACTTACTACACAGGAACAAAAATCGTGTTACATATAATCGGAGGTGCGGGCTTTTTCAATGCAACCACGATGCAATGTGGATTGTTGTTGTTGTTTCTGCTTTCAGCCTGTACATTCCCATTGCAGGTTCAAGGCCTCGCACATTTTTATTCCATTACTGTATTCGTCTTTAGATGTTTTTTGGGAGCTTATGGGTCTTTTCTCCCACTGTGATCTTATCCGGATTAGGAGACTGGACTTTTTTTATTATTACGACGAAAATTTTTCACCCGGATAATCCATGGCGATGGAGCACTCCACTCACGAGGGTAGTCAAGGATGTCGACTGACGCACGCATGGCAAACATGCAGAGACCATGGATATAAATATTCCTTTTCAGTCGTGAAAATGCTCCAGCCACCGGTGTGTAGTGAGCTTCAATTGTCAGAATTTCATTAATACACCGGAACGTATGAATGTATCAATAATATATTTGTAAAATGTGACAATCTTGTCGGGTAGTGGAGGGTAAACCACAATAATTTTGCTGTGAAACTACCACCACGTAACCCAATCCAAAAACTACCACCACGTGACCCAATCCAAATACTACCACCACGTGACCCACCCCAAAAACTACCACTACGTGACCCAATCCAAAAACTACCACCACGTGACCCAACTCAAAAACTACCACCACGTGACCCAACTAAAAAACTACCACCACGTGACCCAACCCAAAAACTACCACCACGTGACCCAACAAAAAAACTACCACCACGTGACCCAACCCAAAAACTACCACCACGTGACCCAACATAAAAACTACCACCACGTGACCCAACCCAAAAACTACCACCACATGACCCAACCCAAAAACTACCACCACGTGGCCCAATCCAAAAACTACCACCACGTGGCCCAACATAAAAATTACCACCACGTGACCCAACCCAAAAACTATCACCACGTGACCCAACCAAAAAACTACCACCACGTGACCCAATCCAAAAATTACCACCACGTGGCCCAATCCAAAAACTACCACCACGTGACCCAACCCAAAAACTACCACCACGTGACCCAACCCAAAAACTACCACCACGTGACTCAACTCAAAAACTACCACCACGTGACCTAACCCAAAAACTACCACCACGTGACCCAACCGAAAAACTACCACCACGTGACCCAACCCAAAAAACTACCACCACGTGACCCAATCCAAAAACTACCACCACGTGACCCAATCCAAAAACTACCACCACGTGACCCAACCCAAAAACTACCACCACGTGACCCAACCCAAAAATTACCACCACGTGACCCAACTCAAAAACTACCACCATGTGACCCAACTCAAAAACTACCACCACGTGGCCCAACCCAAAAACTACCACCACGTGACCCAATCCAAAAACTACCACCACGTGACCCAATCCAAAAACTACCACCACGTGGCCCAATCCAAAAACTACCACCACGTGGTCCAACCCAAAAACTACCACCACGTGGCCCAATCCAAAAACTACCACCACGTGACCCAACCCAAAAACTACCACCACGTGACCCAACCCAAAAACTACCACCACGTGACCCAGTCCAAAAACTACCACCACGTGACCAAACCCAAAAAATACCACCACGTGGCCCAACCCAAAAACTACCACCACATGGCCCAACCCAAAAACTACCACCACATGGCCCAACCCAAAAACTACCGCCACATGGCCCAACCCGAAAACTACCACCACGTGACCCAACCCGAAAACTACCACCACGTGACCCAACCCAAAAACTACAACCACGTGGCCCAATCCAAAAACTACCACCACGTGGCCCAATCCAAAAACTACCACCACGTGGCCCAATCCAAAAACTACCACCACGTGGCCCAACCCAAAAAATACCACCACGTGGCCCAACCCAAAAACTACCACCACGTGACCCAACCCAAAAACGACCACCACGTGACCCAACCCAAAAACTACCACCACGTGACCCAACCAAAAAACTACCACAACGTGACCCAACTAAAAAACTACCACCACGTGACCCAACCCAAAAACTACCACCACGTGATCCAACCCAAAAACTACCACCACGTGACCCAACCCAAAAACTACCACCACGTGACCCAACCCAAAAACCACCACCAAGTGACCCAACCCAAAAACCACCACCACGTGACCCAACCCAAAAACTACCACCACGTGGCCCAACCCAAAAACTACCACCACATGACCCAACCCAAAAACTACCACCACGTGACCCAACCCAAAAACTACCACCACGTGACCCAACCCAAAAACTACCACCACGTGACCCAACTCAAAAACTACCACCACGTGACCCATCCAAAAACTACCACCACGTGACCCAACCCAAAAACTACCACCACGTGGCCCAACCCAAAAACGACCACCACAGCTCTGCACCTCTAAGTTTTCGAATTAAGTATTGGAGCCGATTTGCGAGACATGTGCGCGTTTCAAATTATCTTGGTTGTTCTTGTTATTCATGACTCCACATGCACTGCCCATTAGAAATCATGTGGGAACGTTTAGCAGTACGTACTTCTGACGATAACAACAACAAAAACCCCGCGGATGCAAACCAAACCGACAACTACACCATTGGGGCCACATGCGAGTCGATGTGAGCAAATTTAACGATGCGGGGAGGAGAGTTACAATGGGTCCAATATTGAGAACCCATATGGGGAAGCTTCGGGAAGGATAATACTTTCGTTGGAGAGCACCGCAAAACGGCTTGGGCCAAACTTTTGTTTGGCAGCTGCCTCGGTGCTTGCTCGGTAATTCCACACAGAATTCACTCAAACGTTTTAAGCTAAACACAAACAAAAATAGTGAAAATTGTTTTTTTAAGGCTGCGCTACTCACAATATTCACCGCCGCTCGAGCCGAACCCAGGTTCACGCACGTAGCTTAGGAGCGGCTTTAGTTTTAGCGCGTCGGTCCAGACACACTCACTGCAAGACCTTGAGCTGCAAACCCTTTGTTGTACTGCTATAACGAGGGACACAATGGGCACTCGGGGAGATGTCAGACACGAACCCAATGCGCTTTGATCCTTATCACAGACACACACCATGGGCTCAGACAAATTCAACAAGACGGCCGGTCTGCTATGTCATAATGCGTCATGGCAAAACCACAAGTGTTAGCGAGCGCGTTTGTAGCGAATGAAAAAAAGAGCTTCATAGCTCATCGTATTCCTCCAATATGAATCAAAATTATGATTCTGAGAACAAGTATTTTGGAATTTTAAGTGGCGTGCATTTGTCAAATTAGACATATAACAATACCCGCTCCATGATCAGGGGTATTCGTAAAACAACAACACCTGCATGGAATATGGCGCAGACCCTGGCTCCAAATAAACACGGGAGATGTGGGGTGGTGTGGGAGATGGGGGGAGGGGACAAACAGCAATCGCTGTCAAATCAGT